GAGGGGTGTTTGGGGGAGGGAGGAGGGGGGAAGGAAAGAGGAGGGGGGGAGGAGGGAGAGAGGAGGGGGGAGAAACACCAGGTTAGTCTCACCTGCTCTACAGATCAACACACCTCCTGCCGGTTCTGTCCGTCCTGCCGGTTCTGCCGGTTCTGTCCGTCCTGCCGGTCCTGCCGGGCCGCCTCACCTGCTCGAACAGCGTCATGGCGAACTTCTGGTGCGGGATGCAGTGCCTGGCGGTGCAGACGTCCTCCTTGGTCTCGTCTGAGATGTGGAAGTGGATCCTCATCAGGATGTTCTCCTGAGAACACACAGAACCAGAGTGAAGCTGCGGTCGGACCACCCGGTTCCGGCCTGTTTCCGGACCGGTTCTGGCCTTACGAAGCACTCGGCGGCGTCGTCCATGATGCCCAGCTGGAAGCGCTGCTGGTCCTGGAAGCTCTTGGCCAGCGCGCTGCGCAGCGCGTCGGACGGCAGAACCTTCTCACTGCTGAACTGGAACTGGGCAAAGATGTTCTGGAGGAGAGCAGACAGCAGGTCAGAACCGGGCCAGAACTGGGCCAGGACCGGGCCGAGCTCCTGGTCCTCACCTTCAGGGCGCAGAAGATGCAGGAATCCTCCAGGCACTTATGGGAGGAGAGCTGACGGAAACTCCTACGGAAGATATCCAGGTGCCACAGAACCTGAGGACAGAACCAGAACCAGAACCTGAGGACAGAACCAGAACCTCAGGACAGAACCAGAACCTTTTATCATAATTTTATTCACTGTCAGATACATGGAACAGTTCTGGTTCTGGTTGTGGTTCTGGGTCCAAACGGACCGATCAGATTGCAGCAGCCTCCTGTGGGTCTGAGGATGATGATGATGATGAAGATGGACCGGTTCTGTAGAACATCATGTCTCTCCAGGGAAACGTTTTGCTCTACTGGTTTAACTGGTTCTGATCGCTGCAGTTCCCGCCTCCACCACCAGGTGTCACTGAAGGCTCCGGACCAGAACCGGTACCGTTCTGGTTCTGTCACCTGGATGCAGCCGGCCTGATGATGTTTGGGTTGCCATGGTGACCGGCCGTCTCCCACTAGCACCACAAGCGACTCGCTGGTGAAACGGGTCGGAACCCGTCCGGATTTAAACGGGCCAGCGTTGATCAGAGGGAACCAGAACCAGAGACAGGCTGAGCAGAGACAGAACCTGAACGGACCCGGCAGGAAGTGCTGACTCAGTTCTGTTTCTCCCGCCCCCCTGCTGGGTCCAATATGCTGCCGGGTTCTGGTACCGGACCGTCTGCTCACGGCTCTGCAGGACGCCCGGAGCAGAACCTGGCAGTGGAACCGGTCCAGGACGCTGCAGCGCCGTGGCTCTGGTTCTGATGGTTCAGTTCTGAGGTCCAAATGGCTGCAGAAAAGTTCTGGAAGAACCGAGGAACCGGTTCTGCTCTGTTGGATCACAGAGTTCTGAAAGGTCAGTTCGGTCCGGCCCAATTCATCAGAACCATCACTGCTGTGACAGGTTCTGGGAGTGGCCCGTTTCCCGCTCCGCAGGAACCAATCGGACCTCTCAGGTGACTGGACCGGAACCGGCGCTGGGAAAGGTTCTGAGGTTCTACTGCAGCAGGAACACAGCGGTCCAGAACTCTGACCAGAACCGGGTCAGAAAAGAAAACCAAACTCTACAAGTTCAGCAGAATTTAACCGGATCGACAAATCAGCTGTGTGTGTGTGTGTCTCTGTGTGTCTCAGTGTGGTTTCAGGGTGTTTCTGTGTGTCTCTGTGTGTGTGTGTGTGTGTCTCTGTGTGTGTGTGTGTGTGTGTGTGTGTGGGTGTGTGTGTGTGTGTGTGTGTGTGTCTCAGTGTGTGTGTGTGTATGTCTCAGTGTGTGTGTCTCAGTGTGTTTCAGGGTGTTTCAGTGTGTCTCTGTGTGTGTGTGTGTGTGTGTGTGTGTGTGTGTGTGTCTCTGTGTGTGTGTGTCTCTCTGTGTGTGTGTGTGTGTGTCTCTGTGTGTGTGTGTCTCTGTGTGTGTCTCTCTCTCTGTGTGTGTGTGTGTGTCTCTGTGTGTGTGTGTGTGTCTCTGTGTGTGTGTGTGTCTCTGTGTGTGTGTGTCTGTGTGTGTGTGTGTGTCTGTGTGTGTGTGTGTCTCTGTGGGTGTGTGTGTGTAGGTGTGTAGGTGTCTCTGTGTGTGTGTAGGTGTCT